TCCGTGTAGTTCTGTCCCTCCCTGCCGCCACCTCATGCCTCTGCAGATGTCTATTTCCATGTTTGATAGGCTCAGCTCCCTGCCTTCAGTTAGATGTTGCTCCTCACATCCACAGTGCTCTGTGTATAACTCCATCACAGCTCTGACCACTACCTTTACAAAACTGTCTTCATGATTACACTCCAAGCTCCCGGAAAGCAGAAACCGTGTCTTCCGTGCTTGTCTCCCCCAGCCTAGCACAGAGCCTGGGCAGAGGTGGCTAATGGGTGTTTGTTGAATGCAGATATATGAATAATATATATGGTAGTGCTTTAACAACTGTAAAGGTCCAGGCAGGTCTAAGTTTTTATTTATTATAATTTGAGATTGAGGGTTTCTACTCCAAAGCTATTTTCTAATATGGTAAATACAGTCTTGAGAATCTATTTTGGCCTCAGAGTCCTTCAGTTCATAGTGGCAGGGTTTAGGGCTAGGGTGGGGGGATGGGGGAGGCATTCATACATATATTTTTAATATATCTTTCTCTTTCCTTCCATCATGCCCTTCCTCCCTTGCCCTACCGAGCTGATGCAGTGATAGACTTTGAAGGAGGGGTGGTTTAGTCCAGGGTCTAAAGGGAGTTCTTAAGGCAGTTCATCCTGCTGTCTTCACTGTCTCCACCACCCAAGCGGTTTAGGATGTGCCTGGAATTCACAGCAATTCTTCTTACACAAATGCACAAGGACCACTTCCCTACTGTGTCCACTTGGCCTAGCACCAGAATTCCTGCCAGTACACAGCTGAGGGTTCTGCCCTTCCACAGAATACCAAGGCGCTGGATGCATTCTATAGTCAGGGCTCTTTCGGTTGCAAGGGACAGAAACCCAACTCCAACCAGCTTAAGCAGGTGGAATTTGTGGGATCACAGAACTGGGAAGGCCAAGGATGGATCTCGCTTGGAGACAGCAAGCTCCAGCCACACGTGATGTCACCACAGCCCCATTGCTCTTCCAGCCATGAGGCCCTCTTTCTGCCAAACTCTTCCAGCCAGACTTTGGAGGATGGACATTGTACTGTTGGCCTACCTGGTACTTACAGCTACAATCTAAGAAGAAGAATAAAACCCCCAATCTTCTAGGCCTGGCATGGTGGCTCATGCCTGTAATCCCAGCACTTTGGGAGGCCGAGGTGGGCAGATCACCTGAGGTCAGGAGTTTGAGATCAGCCTAACCAACATGGTGAAAACCCATCTCTACTAAAAATACAAAAATTAGCTGAGCGTGGTGGCGCATGCCTGTAATCCCAGCTACTCAGGAGGTTGAGGTAGGAGAATCTCTTGAACCCGGGAGGCAGAGATTGCAGTGAGCCAAGATTGTGCCACTGTACTCCAGCCTGGGTGAGAGAGCAAGACTCCATCTCAAAAAAAAACAAACAAAAAAACCCCAACAAAACAACAACAACAAAAACCAAATAAATAACAAGAACAAAAAGCCTCCAATCTCCTACAGTTAAACAGATTGCTCTTTTTGAGCCATCTTCTGACTGGGGAATGGCAATCCATGATCCCTGGGCCGTCGGTCAGTGGGGTTTTGGAGTACTGGGAATGCTGGCCCCATAAGAACCATGTGGGAAGGAGAAGGGCCGCTCTCCACAGAAAAAGGGATGCTGAGCACATACATATAAAGTATGTAGCATATGAAAAGACAACGTGTACGAACTCGGAGAATCTCAGGCACAGGGTGTCCCATCTTTGGGAGTCTCACAATTACAGGGTTGTAGCTTTCCGTGGTCTCTTCCGGGTTTGTTTTCTTTCAAGCCCCTGTTCATTCGGCAGAATGCCTCTCCAGCCTTGACTTAGGGACACTGCCTCTTTTGCCTGGCTTCTGTTGCCCCCCTCTGTCCTGTGAGGAACCCTCTTTCCATATCACAAGTCACAGCCCCCTGAATGGCATTTCCTGTGTGCTCAAGTTGGGAAGGAGCTAAACCTGTCCCTATGACCTCCCTCCTGGGGTCATTTCTGAGTTTTTTCTTTTCTATTCATCCCTTCCCTTTGAACCTGCTAATTAAGAGATATTTGTTGTTTGGCACCCCCAGGACCCCCAAGCTCTGTTCCTTGCCGTCTCAGGCTGGGGATGGCACAGAGGTCTCTCATTCCTCAGGGATTTGTAATTCCAGGTTTCTCCTTCTAGGTCATGGTTTAATCTCAGGCAAAGTGAACACAAGCATTGTCATAGCCTGGCAATGTAGCAAAGGACACTTGGGAGTCAAATTACCCTGAGTCCCACACTTGGCTCGGCTGGCCGTCTTCTAGTGGTGTGACTCAGCCGGCCTGAGCCTTGATTTCCTCGCTGATAAGATAGAGATGATTGTCACGCAGAGCTGCTGTGAGGATTTGTTGAAACAGCAGAGGCAAAGTTCCTAGCATAGAATTGGCAACTAGTAGCTCAAGTGATACTATACAGGTGCCAACAGGCGCCGAGCGCTGCTGTGTTCCAGGCACTGTTTTATTCTCTTTACTTGTGTTGACTCATTAACTATTATTGTTAATCATTATTAATTGGCTCATTAATTCCCTCAGAGGTAGAGGTTGTTTTTACCTCTATTTAACAGATGAGGCTGCTGGAGCTGTAAGTGATAGAACCAGGATAGCAACCTAAGTCCTGTGTTCCTATCCACTACATCATACTATCTCTGCAGTTAACTGCAGTCTAGCTTCTCTGATGTGAGCCACACTGAGTAGACCTCTAACTCTGCAGTAATTGTGGCAAGTGGATCATTTTCTTGGAGTTGATGGGTTTGTAAAATCTTTGGGTATTCAATGTTTTTATTTTTATTTTTTGAGACCGAGTCTCGCTTTTTTGCCCAGGCTGGAGTGCAGTGGCACGATCTCGGCTCACTTCAACCTCCGCTCCCAGCTTCAAGCGGTCCTCCTGCCTCAGACTCCCAAGTAGCTGGGATTACACGGGTGTGCCACCATGCCTGGCTAATTTTCGTGTTTTTTAATAGAGACAGGATTTCACCATGTTGCCCAGGCTAGTTTCGAACTCCTGACCTCAAGTGATCCGCCCACCTCTGCCTCCCAAAATGCTAGGGTTACAGGCATGAGCCACTGTCCCTGGCCAGTATTTTTAAAGTAGAGTTTGTTAATTCACTCAAAGCTAATGGAGTCTCACTCTGTCACCCAGGCTGGAGTGCAGTGGCATGATCTTGGCTCACTGTAACCTCCGCCTGCCCAGTTCAAGTGATTCTCCTGCTTCTGCCTCCCGAGTAGCTGGGATTACAGGCGTGTGCCATCACGCCTGACTAATTTTTGCATCTTTAATAGAGACAGGGTCTCACCGTGTTGGCAAGGCTGGTCTCAAACTCCTGGCCTCAGGTGATCTGCCTGTCTTGGCCTCCCAAAGTGTTGAGATTACAGGCGTGAGCCACTGCACCTGGCCAAAATGAAGCTTCTTGAACTTCCTCCCACACCTACACTTTGTGCCCCACCTGTGGGGAAGTTGAAGCTATAGTGCAGTGGTCCCCAACCTTGTTGGCCCCAGGGACTGGTTTCATCAGAGACAATTTTTCCATGGACTGGGGTGGGTAGAGGGATGGTTTTGGGATAAAATTGTTCCACCTCAGATCATCAGGCATTAGATTCTCATAAGGAGTGCACAACCTAGATACCTTGTATGCACAGTTCACAATAGGGTTCACGCTCTCATGAGAAACTAATGCTGCCACTGATCTGACAGGAGGTGGAGCTCAGGCGGGAATGCTTGTCCACCTGCTGCTCACCTCCTGCTGTGTGACCTGGTTCTTAACAGGCCACAGACTGGTACTGGTCCACCACCTGGGGTTGGGAACCCTGGCTATAGGGCAAATGTAGACCAGGCTTCAGGCTTACCTTGACTCAGGTTTGCCTAGAGATGGACAGTGGGACTAGGAGGTGGGAAATCACCTGTTCTGCCTTCAGGCAGCCCCCACCTCACAAAAAAAAAAAAAAAAAAAAAAAAAAAGAAAGAAAGAAAGAAAGAAAGAAAAATAAAAAAAATAAGGATGGGGCCACGTGGGAGCTAGCCGTTTCACAAATCACAGGGATGGATGGAAGGCCAGGTGCAAGCTCTTTTCCCAATACTTTGGAGAGGGAAGAAGTTCCTACCTTGCATGGGTAGGAACCCCACGAGAGGGAGCAAATGATTGCTTCTACAAACATCATCCACTTGGTAGCCCTGTTGAGATTAAGTAAGATGAGGCATATGTACAACACCTCTAGTGTGAATGGTTAGTGCCCAGTATGTCTTACTTAGCATGTTACCCACAAGGCAGAATGGCAGTTAGCACATTTATACCATGACTAACTACCAGTGAGGTGCAAGAATGCTGGTGTCAGCCAGTCAGTATAGTTTCCTCCTGATGGGAAACCTATTTGGGAAATCTTGTTGCTGAGAGCGTGAAAATAAGGACAGAGAGCTCTGTGATTATAAAGGATATAGAAGGCTGATGTGGTGGTCTTCCCCACCAAATAGGAATCTACCCACCAAGCAAACTGTAATGCCCACCACATCTATCCTCTGCCAGTACCACAGTATACTCATCACTTCTTTTTATTGTGGCAAAATACACATCACATAAGATGTGCCATTTAACATCTTGAAGCACACAGTTTATTCGCATGTTGTGCAACCATCACCACTGTGTATTTCCAAGATTTTTTCATCACCCCAAGGAGAACCTCTGTGACCATTAAGCAATACGTTCCCATTCCCTACATGCCCCTTCCACCCCCAGCAACCTCTTCTTTCTCTGTGAATTTGCCTATGTTAGATTTTTCATCTAAGTGGAATGGTACAGAATCTGTCCTTCTGTGCCTGGTGTATTTCACTTAGCATGCTCATCCACATTGTGGCATGTACAGAATAGGCGCCTCGCTTCTGAAATTAAAACTTTCCTTTTAATAGCCCTCACGAGGACCTCTTTTGTCCTGCTTTTTACTTGTTCTGATCACACCCCTTCTCTTCTTTTCAACATGTTTTCAGAGCCTCCCCTGCCGGAAGTAGAATTTTTTACGGTGCACGGAGGACCTCTACCACGCCTCAGACTGAAGAAAGCCAAGGAGAAAAATGGACCAATCAGGTCAGTAGCTGTCCTTTCTCCACAGTTGTCCAGTGATCCCCACGGAGTAATTTGGAAACTTTGATTCTGGTGAGGAGAAGACTTCTGTGTTGGTGGCTGTACTTGGGTTGTTAGAACAATGCAGCTGGGGCCTCTTTTGTTTCCTTGGGTACAGAGTGGCCTTTAATCCCAACCAGCATCCTTTCTAATGGAGAGAGAGACTTCTTTTTTTTTTCTTTGAGATGGAGTCTTACTCCCGTCACTCAGGCTGGAATACAGTGTTGCGATCTCAGCTCACTGCAACCTCCACCTCCTGAGTTCAAGTGATTCTCCTTCCTCTGCCTCCTAAGTAGCTGGGATTACAGGCGTGCACCACCACGCCTGGATAATTTTTGTATTTTCAGTAGAGACAAGGTTTTGCCATGTTGGCCAGGCTGGTCTCGAACTCCTGACCTCAGGTGATCCACCCACCTCAGCCTCCCAAAGTGCTAGGACTACAGGCGTGAGCCACAGCACCTGGCCACATGGAGAGACTGCTAAAGGACCATATATACAAGCATTTGGGCAGTTTAGCTCAAGAAATTAAATCCATTCCTTTGGTCGCTGGGCAAGCATGGGTTGCGTGCTTAGGACATGTCAGGATTGTCCTTTGCACTCATGTCTCATAGTATATCCTTTATGGATGGGGGGTCAGGGGCATCATTTCATTTCTCAAAGGCAGGATATGTTGCCCTGTATGTAAGGTTGATCTTGCAGGGTGTGCAGTGGTGTCTGAAAAGATCATTTAGGTAAATCTTTTTGTCTTTTCTTGTATTGAGTTATGGGCAAGACACTGTGTAATTAATGACTGCTTCTGGGATTCCAGATGGCATTAGGGTGGAATTAATTTACCTCAGTTGGAGGACTACACTGTGTTCAGTTAAATGTTTTATTTGCAAAGGTCACGGCAGGATTAGGAAAGTAGCATCAGTCCCTTTTTTAGAGAGGAAGATTGAGGTTGGAGTGGAGAGATGAACAGCTTGCTCACAGCACCAGGTCAAGGAGCTGAAAACATACATGGCCTCACCAACCTTGCCTTTGTCTCTCCTGACCCTTCAGTAAAATCAAGGTTAAAAAAAAAAAAGTGAGATGTTATAAAATTACAAAAAAGAAAGTCTGGTGATATTATCTGTATATCCATTTATAATAAAACTTAGGGTTTTCCTGCTTTTATATTCATTTAAATTCAGTAAATGTGCAAAGATCTTTCCAGGGATGGACATTGTATAAATTGTTCTGATTCTTGACAAATTACCAGAAGGCATTGTAATTCTGTCATTATAAAGAGAACAGAAGTTGTGAGGTCACTTCCTGAGAGCATTTGCAAGAACAAATGTGATATTTATGTCAAATAATGACATAATACAAAAAGAAAAGCCAAATGACAGCTTACCTTTGTGGCTATATGCCGGCCAGCGCCTCCAAAACAGGAAGTGGAGATCTGTGAGTCATTCGAGGGAGTGTGGTAGTGAAAAAGAGGAGAAAAGTCCTTCCAGAACAGTCATATTCCAAACAGCCACAGTTGCTTCTCTAACGTCACATGGCTAATTACCAGCAGGCAGGATGGTTTCCTAAGCCTGACTACCTGATTTGAGCTGGGGGGTAGCGGCTTTGCCAGTGTGTGAGACAGGCCTGAGTCTGCTCTGTGCATGGTTTAGGGACAGTGTCTTGGGGTACATAATGGAGCAAGGTCCCTGGGACCAAGCCTCTCCTGAGCTTGCTGATGTTAGGCAGAGGATGGAGCCTGTTGCTGGGGTGCCTTAATGCTCGTGTCTCCCACACCTGCCAGATGATAGGAATCACCTGGGGGCTTTATCAGCGATACAAATTCCCAGACTCTACTCCTAGAGATTTTGATTCAGTAGGTCTGGGATGAGGTCGGGGAATTTGTATAATAATCAGGCAACACAGGTGATTATGATCAGGCTAATTGGGAAGCTGCTTCATACTCTGTCAGTGATGCCTCTAGTGGGCAATGTACAGAACCAAATGGGCACAGGTGAGCCTTGACCACCACCACCTGCATGGAAAGATGAGAGGGATTTGAAGATGTACTTATGGACAGCATGGAGGTGCTGCAACATTCACTGTGTTACCTGCGGCTATGACATAGGGATGTTTTCAAGTCTCAGGCAAGTTTGTTGTTACAGGTGTTCCCCATAGGCAGTGGATGCTTAGTAAATGTTTACTGGTGGTGACAACTTACTGCCCTGCAGGTTTTACTTTGTCTCTTTTGTAGAAAGCCCTTGGCTGAAAGTGAGCCAAGACTTTATGAAAACCAGGACGCTTGGCCAGGCACGGTGGCTCACACCTGTAATCCCAGCACTTTGGGAGGCAGAGGCAGGCAGATCACTTGAGGTCAGGAGTTCAAGACCAGCCTGGCCAACATGGTGGAACCACATCTCTACTAAAAATACAAAAACCAATTAGCCGGGCGTAGTGGCGAGTGCCTGTAATCCCGCTACTCAGGAGGCTGAAGCAGAAGAATCGCTTGAACCTGGGAGGCAAAGGTTGTAGTGAGCTGAGATCATACCGCTGCACTCCAGCCTGGGCAGCAGAGCAAGACTCCCTCCTAAAAAAAAAAAAAAAGAAAGAAAAGAAAGAAAATCAGTGCCCCGAGGATACCTAGGATGTCTGGGAACCTAGTAGGGGGAGACTTTCCATATCCAACACCCACTGTGGAGGTGGGCTCCCTCTTCTTAATCTCATGATTCATGGGCTCTTAGGAAGCAGGAGATAGGGCATTTGCCATGTGAAGCAGGAAGTTCAAATTTACTGGTAAAATAGAATTACATGGCCTAATGAGTTTTGGAAATTACCCTAATCATATTTCACACTGATGTATGCTCTTCCTCTTTTCTGAAATTTCAACTCAAGAATCATTCATTGTTGGTGGCGGAGGGGCGGGGCGGGGGTCGGGGGAGCTATCATTACCAAAGAACTGTGCAAGGATTTGCAAGAATACAAGAGTCAGTCATTCAGATCCCTGCTATCAAGCCTGACAGAGACAGCAGATGCTCAACACGGTACTAGAGGCAGGAGCTAAGTACTGGATAGATGGGAATTGAAGGGAAGCGTGATCCATTCTCAGTGCATTTTTATTCTCACACTTCCTTTCACTGCCAGGCTTTCTATTTGATGGGATGAATAATGAAACACATAACAAAAACAATACCCATTTGTTAGTGTGTTTTTCTGTCCACAATTGGGGAACAGTTTTTACAGTGCATACATGACATATTACTGTTCTGGTTGTTTCAGGATGTTGTCAGACTGGATTAACTCATGGTGACTCTGCACTCTTGGCGTCTCATTTATTTCACATGAACTTTGGTATCAGCCCATGAACTGTAGGGAATGTAAATCACATGAGTTCTGTTTCAGGTCACCACATGATTGTCTGCAGCCTTTTTTCTGGACTTAGTACATTCACTGTGGTAGGCACTAGGTCTTCATGTGACTGCTAAACCCTTTGCACAGTTGGGCTTTATTTGCCCACGTGAAAATCACTGATTAGGTCAACTTTATGACACACACACAGCACAGGGCAGTGATATGTGCAACAACTTCTCCCAGCTAAAGAGGATGTACTTGGCATCTCTCTGCAGCCAGAACTTGGAGAGGTCCCTTGCCCCGTGTCATCTGGCATTAACCCTTTAGGTTCAAACTGGAATTGCATGATGGTTGGAGCTGTCAGACCGTAAATCCTACATGGGCCAGGACTTTTTCTTGTCTAGTGTTGTGTCTCCAGTACCTAGAAAGAGGCTTATCTCGGCTGGGTGCAGTGGTTCACACTTGCAATCCCAGCACTTTGGGAGGATGAGGTGGGTGGATCCTGAGGTCAAGAGACTGAGACCAGCCTGGCCAACATGGTGAAACCCCATCTGTACTAAAAATACAAAAGCTAGCTGGGCGTGGTGGCACGCGCCTATAGTCCCAGCTACTTGGGAGGCTGAGGCAGGAGAATCACTCAAACCCGGGAGGTGGAGGTTGCAGTGAGCTGAGATTGCACTACTGCACTCCAGCCTAGTGACAGAGCAAGACTCTGTCTCAAAAAAAAAAAAAAAAAAGGCTTATCTCATAGCGGGTATTCAATAAATATGAATGATTGAATGAATGAACTCCCCATGCAAGGGTCTGATGGACACTTCCGTTTTTTTCTTCCAGTTCATATCAGGTGTTAGTGCTTCCCTTGGCCCTCCAAAGCACATTTTCTTGTGATTCTGAAGGCACTTCCTCCTTCTTTAGCAACGCCTCTGATGCTGATGGATACGTGGCTGCAGAACTACTGGCCAAAGATGTTCCAGATGATGCCATGGAGATACTTATAGGAGACAGGCTGTACTATGGGGAATATTATAATGCACCTTTGAAAAGAGGGAATGATTACTGCATTATATTACGAATCACAAGTGAATGGAATAAGGTATCTTTCTTTCCAAGCTCTTCTGAATTCTGTGTTTTCTTCTTCCCGTGAAATTCAAATGTTTGAACATTTGTTTTCCCAGTACTTGAGAGGGACACTGCATGTGACAATCATAAAATGTGTGTGAATACTTTGCCTTTATGAAAGATGGACAGGTGAAACCCTTACAGATGATAGGGATTCTGAACCTCCTGGGGGACCTTGCTGAATCAGCATTTAGACTGACCTGGTTTTTGTTTTTACCTTAAGCTTTACAGATGCCCTCATTCTATTGCACTACTGGAGTCTAAGTTGGAAAGAAACATCTAGATTCTCTCTTAACTTCCTTGTGCCCTTGCCAGGCTGCTGCCTCTCTCATTCTCCTGGGAAGCAGAAGATTAGGCACAGCACTGGCCTGTTTTTTGCTTACATCCCTTCTGCGACTATGGCATAGGTACCACTTTCCCTTCCGCAGTGCTTAGAAACGCTGGTGCTCTTCCAGCAGTGGCTTTTTCCTGAGACATGGAACTCAATATTCATTAGATAATTAGGAAACCTCATGTTGCTGTATTCATCAGTCAGGGATGGAAGACCTGGAAGAACCATTGTGATGGTTGACCTAGGAGAACCCTAAGCTTGTTGTAAATTCATATGGGTTGGTAATGAAAACTAGAAGGATTATATTAATAGTAATACAAACATCTCTTGACTGATGAATTTGAGATAAAATTATGTTGTCATTTTGAGTGTAAGGTTCATCACATATTTAAAACTGAGACACTCTATTAAATTCTGTGTGGGATGCAAATGTAATGTGTCATGAACATGCTTGCTATAAAACCAATAGTTACTTGTAAGACTGTTCAAGTATCAAAGATGTCTAGCAGTGCTTTGTGACAATAATGTAGGAATAAAGAAAGGAAAGTTAAAGCCCAGAAATGTATTGCCCTGAACTTACTAAAAAGGTGTTTACAACTTAGACAAGGCCTTTTCATTAGAAAATTACTTGGGGTTCCTAACTTGGAGTTTTTAGCCATAGACAAAACACTGACAGTACAACATGAGTGAAATTTAGAGATGGTTCAGAGAGCTATTGTCCTAGATTAAGACTTTAGTTGGGGAGGGTGTATTAGTCAGCTTGGGCTGCTATAGTGAAATATGGTAGACTGGGTAGCTTAGGCAACAGACATATATTTCTCACAGTCTGTGCTGGGGAAGCCCAAGATCAAGGTGCCAGCTGATTCAGTTCCCCAGTGAAGACTCTCTTCCTGGTTTGTGGACAGCTGCCTTCTTACAGTGTCCTCACATGGTGGGGATTGAGTGGGTTGGGGAAAGCTCTGATTGCTCTTCCTCTATTTATTAGGACACTTATCCCATCATGAGGGCTCCATGCTTATAACCTCTTCTGGATCTATTTCTTTCCCAAAGATCCTGCCTCCAAATACCATCACATTGTAGATTAGGGCTTCAACATGTGAATTCAGGGCAGGAGGTGGGTGGTGAGCAGGGGCATAGACATTTAATTCATAACAGAGGGAATGAAGTTGGAGGTTAGGACAAGAATTCTGGTTTATTAGCCAGGCATAGTGGTATGTGCCCATAGTCCCAGCTACTTGGGAGGCTGAGGCAGGAGGATTTCTTGAGCCTGGGAGGCAGAGGTTGCACTGAGCCGAGATCATGCCACTGCACTCCAGCCTGGGCAAGAGAGTAAGACCCTGTCTCACACATACACACAAAGAATTCTGGTTTATAGGAAACTTTCCTGTGATGTCATTGATACTCTTTTTCATGTAGCTGAAAAAAAGAATATATGCTTATTCTTTAGGATGTTAAAGGAGATGAAAGGGCTTTGAAAAAACTTATATTTGGATCTACATGTTTGAACTGCGATGACTTTCCCATGGGTTTCAACTATATTTGTGTGATATTACAATAAAATCAGTAGTGATTTAATTTTAATTTCTAATTGTGGTAAAATATATACAATATAAAATTTACCGTCTTAACCATTTTAAAGTGTCGTTTGATGGCATTAAATTCATCCACATTGTTGTGCAACCAATGTCCAAAACTCTTTTTATCTTGCAAAACAAACTTTATACCCATTAAATGTCTCCCCATTCCTTCCTTCCCACAACCCTTGGCAACCAACATTCTACTTTCTGTCTCTTTTTTTTTTTTTTTTTTTGAGGCAGAGTCTTGCTCTGTTGCCCAGGCTGGAGTGCAGTGGCGCAATCATAGCTCACTGCAGCCTCAAACTCCTGGGCTCAAACCACACTGGTGCTTCTGCCGTCTGAGTTAACTTGGACCACAGGTGCACACCATCATGCCTGGCTAATTTTTAATTTTTATTTCTTGTAGAGATGAAGTCTGTCCATGTTGCCCAAATTCCTAGGCTCAAGTGACCCTCCCACCTTCACCTCCCAAAGTGTTGAGATTACAGGCATGAGCCACCACGCCTGGCCCTGCTTTCCATCTTTATGAATTTGACTACTCTAGGTACCTCATATAAGTAGGATCATCCAATATTTTCTTTTTGTGACTGGCTTATTTCATTTAGCCTAAAGTCCTCTAGGTTCACCCATGTTGTGGCAAGTGTCAGAATTTCCTTCCTTTTTAAGACTGAATAATATTCCATTATATGAGTGTACCACGTTTGTTTATTCATTTATTCGTGGATGAATAATGGGATATTTTCCACCTTTTGGCTATTATGAATAATGCTGCTGTGAACATTGGTATGCAATATCTGTTTGAGTCCCTGCTTCCAGTTCTTTTGTGTATATACCTTGAAGTGGAATTGCTTGATCAAATGATAATTCTATGTTTAATTTTTTGAGGAACTACCGTACTGTTTTCCATAGTGCTATACCATTTTCCATTCCCTCTAGCAGTGCATAGGGGTTCCAATTTGTCCATGTCCCTGCTAACACTTACTGTTTTCTGTTTTATTTTCTTATAATAGGCATCCTATTATAAGACAGGGTGTGAGGTGTCATCTTTTGTTTTGAAAGTGGGGGATGGGGGTCTCACTTTGTTTACCAGGCTGAAGTACAGTGGCCCAATCACAGGTCACTGTAACCTTGACCTCCCTGGTGTCAGGTGATCCTCTCACCTCAGCCACCTGAGTAGCTAGGACTACAGGTTCATGCTATCACGCCTGACTAATTTTTCTATTTTTTGTAGAGACAGGATTTTGCCATGTTTCTCAGGCTGGTCTTGAACTCCTGGGTTCAAGAGATCCACCTGCCTTGACTTCCCAAAGTGCTGGGATTATAGGCATGAGCCTCCCAGCGTGAAATGGCATCTTATTGTGGTTTTGGTTTGCATTTCCCTAATGACTAGTGGTGTTGACCACCTTTTCATGGGCTAATCAGCCATTTGTGTATCTTCTTTAGAGAAATGTCTATTTAAGTCCTTTGCTCATTTTTGAACTGGGTTGTTTTTGTTTTTGTTAAGTTTTAAGAGTTCTCCATACATTCTGGATATTACTGTAATCCCTTGTGAAATACGTGATTTGCAAGTATTTTTGTCCATTCCGTGGGTTGCACTTTTACTATCAATAGTGCCCTTAGATGCATAAAAGTTTGAAATTTTGATGATGTTCAGTCTGTCTATTTTTTCTTTTGTTGCTTATGTCTTGTCATATCCAAGAAGTCGTTGAGAAATCTGGTTTCAGGAAGCTTTTCCTCTATGTTGTCTTCTAAGAGTTTTATCATTTGAGGTCTTATATTTAGGTTTTTGATCCATTTTGAGTTTGTGTTTCATATGGTGTTAGGTAAGGGTCCAAATTCATTCTTTTATATGTAGATATCCAGTTTTCCTAGTACCATTCGTTGAAAAAACTTTTTTTTTTTTTTTTTTGAGATGGTGATAAAGTGAGACACTTGGAGTGCAGTGGTGCAATCATGGCTCACTGCAGCCTCGACCTCCTGGGCTCAGGTGATCCTCCTGCCTAAGCCTCCCACATAGCTGGGACTACAGTTGTACAGCACCATGCCTGGCTAATATTTAACAATTTCTTGTAGAGATGGGTCTCCCTATGTTGCCCAGGCTGGTCTCAAACTCCTGGGCTTAATCACTTCTCCTACCTCAGCCTCCCAAAGTACTGGGATTACAGGTGTAAGCCAGTGTGGCCGGCCTGAAAAGACTGTCTTTTCCCCATTGAATGGTCTTGGCACTCTTGTTAACAATCATTTGACATAATGCAAGGGTTTATTTCTAGGTTCTTTATGCTGTTCCATTGGACTATATGTCTATCGTTATGTTACTACTACACTGTTTTGTTTACTGTAGCTTTGTAGTAAATTTTGGAATCGGGGGTGTGAGTCTTCCAATGCCCCCATTTTGTTTTTCCCTTTGTGCATCTGTCCCAGTAAATAGCATCGCCATGCCTCCCGTTGCTAAGACAGAAACCTGTGAATAGTTCTTGTCTCTTCCTTCTTTCTTACCTTCTTATCCAGATCATCAGCAAATCATGTTAATTCTACTACCTTAATTCTGTTTAAAATCATTCTTTCCTCTCCTTCATCTACACTGCTCAGACGTTGTCATCTCTTGCCTGAACATCACTTTTCTACCATATCTTTCTGTCTCTTATTCTACCCGTCTCCTTGCTCCATACCACTGCCAGCATGAGTTTTATAAAATGCAAGTATGATCAAAGCATTTCAGTTTAATAAGCTCCCTTCTTCACCTGGCCCCTGCCAGTTTCTCTCCTTTGATATACTCCATTCCCCCAAATTGCCTTGCTATTTAAAGTCCCTTCCATTCTCCAGGGTCTTGAAATATGTCCTTGACTGGTTATTCTTGCACATTACCTTCCATTTCTAATATCTGCACTTATGGCTATTTTAAGCTTTTCTCAGAATTTTTTTTTCTTTTTTTGAGATGAAGTCTCACTCTGTTGCCCAGGCTGGAGTGCAATGGTGCGGTCTCGGCTCACTGTACCTCTGCCTCCTGGGTTCAAGTGATTTTCCTGCCTCAGCCTCCCAAGTAGCTGGGAGTACAGGTGCCCACCACCACACCTAGCTAATTTTTGTATTTTTAGTAGGAATGGAATTTTACCATGTTGGCCAGGCTGGTCTTGAACTCCTGACCTCAGGTGATCTGCCCATCTCAGCCTCCCAAAGTGCTGGGATTACAGGTGTGAGCCACTGCACCCAGGAGCTTTTCTCAGAATTTTTAAGCTTAAATAAAAAAAAATTAATAAAATCCAAACCAGAATGCCCAAGGCTGTCATTTGAAAGAGAATCTCCTAAAGACATTGGAAGGATCCTTCTCTAACCCTCACCATTCAGCTTCCTCTGGGGAATATTTTCAAGTCTTACACAGAGCAAGTCCCCAGCATTTGTAACAGGTAAATAAGCATATCATAATGACGGGGGGAACAGGTGTTCATTCCACTGAATCTATAGGTTTCTTCTATTAGGGATGAGCTTTCATATATGTTCCTGTTGCTTTCTTCCTGGTTCATGGACACATTTTGGGTAACTGATGTTGCCAAGTGACATCTAGATAGGTGAAGTATTATATACTGGGACTTCTCATAGCTTTCCCTGTAACATGCATCACTACTTCTTGCTGAACCTTCTGAACAAGTGACCTCAGGATCCTTTTCAGCATAGTTCTCCCGGCAGTCCATGCCAGTTGCTGAGGGCTGGCCAGGGGAAGGATCCTTTTTGTCACTCCTGTTGTTGGCCTATCATGTGTACTTTCCAAGACCTATTGGAAACCTATAGAAGTGATCTGTAGGGTCACTTATGTCCATGCAACCCAAGCCGGTCCCTTGAATACTTAGTGATATCACAAGATATTAGAGCTAGATTGGACTTTAAATGTCTAGTTCAAATTAGGAGATTGAAAAAGCTGAAACTCAGAGGGCTTCAGCCTCCAAACTATGTTATTTAAACTAACGCTGTGTGCCACCTAGTTAAACACATTGCTATGTTTTCCTTTATAGGTGAGAAGACACTCCTGTGCAGTTTGGGCTCAGGTGAAAGGTAAAATTATTTTCTGCCTATGAATGCTGTTCTTATTTCTTTTCTGCAGCATCAAGTTCATATTGATGAGATCTGTTTATAAAATTGTCACTGGTGACCAGAACCCAATTCATACTACTTTAAGCAAAAAGCTTCATAGCTGAAAAAAATGGGAGGAGGGCGAGTGGATGGGAGCTTATGGAATTAGACAAAGAGCTCCCCCACCGAGGCTCCAGGAACTGGGACTGGGGACTCAACGCCGTGAGTGGGACTTCTCTCTCTATCTCTCTCTTATTTCAGTTCTCTGGTTCTAAGCGTGACTTAGCTTCATTTTCTTCTGCTATAAGACATGTGAGAGGAAGGGATGGCAAGCTCCCCCAGCTTACCAATTTCACTGGGAAAACATAGCTTTTCAATTCAGGGAAAGATTCTTTCCTCCTAGTTTAAGTGATTGTCTGTTGGATGAATCACTGTTAATAGGAGATGGGCTAGGATGATTGGCCTCCGTTGGGTTTTATGTCTACTCCTGGCTGGTTGGAGGCAGAGCAGTGTGAACAATAGGTCCACTAGGTTTGCACTGAAAGGGAGACAAAATCCCTATCAAGAAATGGGGCATAGGAAAAGATGCCGAAAAGCCAATACAAGAGCTACAACAGTCCACTACCATTCAGCTGTGTAGCTTGTGCACATACACATATAATATTAAGAAAAACTGTAATCCCAGCGCTTTGGGAGGCCGAGGCAGGCGAATCACCTGAGGTCGGAAGTTCGAGACCAGCCTGACCAACATGGAAAAACCCTGTCTCTACTAAAAATACAAAATCAGCTAGGTGTGGTGGCATATGCCTGTAATCTCAGCTGCTCGGGAGGCTGAGGCAGGAGAATCGCTTGAACCCGGGAGGCAAAGGTTGCGGTGAGCTGAGATCGCGCCATTGCACTCCAGCCTGGGCAACAAGAGCAAAACTCCATCTCAACAACAACAACAACAACAACAACAATAACAAAATAAGAAAAACATCTTCCCTTAACAAAATGGAACTATCCTATGTATGATCCCACATGGAACCCTAGTGGAAGACAACTCAAAGCTGGGTCTGTTACTGCATCCAGCTTCAAGACCAGGAATCCTGGGGATAGCATCTTTCTCTTGATCAAGTCCAGATGTGTTTCTTGTGCTCTATTAAGTAATCTATGACTAAATGGCAAATTTAACCAATCTCAAACCGTAGCACATAATATGAGAGGGAAAACTGAATAGCACAATAAATACTCTCATTTAGAAAGAAGGAAAAGATAAAGCAATGTACAGTGGTCGGGGGCCCCATAGCAATGATCACCTCTTGCTGGACAGGACAAGCAAGCATCCCCTGCCCTGGCAGCAGAATGGGTCACTTGGGTGGTCCGTTTGGGTCTGCCTGATGGGAACTCTTGTCCATTTCCTCCAAAGCCTTTCCTTAGAGACACAGCGGGAACATCTCTACTGAGTGCTGTACAACTTAAACCTTCTTTGCCTTGGAAGAGTTACCCAGGCGGGGAAATTGCCTTAGGGTTTGAGCAATCACTGGTCTTTGTTTTCCAGGCTCGGGATTTCCCTGGCAGTACAGTACATTTCTTTAAAACCAACAGGCAGCCAGCCAGTGGATTTGATTCCCAGGAATTCCATTAGTTTGTAGCTAATAGCAGAAATCTTGTTGAGTTTATGACCTTGGAATCTGGACCTTTTCCCTGTGGTTTGTGGGTCCTAGCAACAGGCTGTGAAATTCTGCCCTTAGCCCACAGTATCAGTTTAACCCTTTGCCTCCTCTCCCCTGCCTCAAAGCAACATAAAACAATCAACTGGCATGGTGAGGAAATGCCGGTATAAACTTACTTCCCTAAGGATTTCAGTGGATAGCACTTTCTAATGGGGAATTTTTTATCCTGTCAGTAGAGAATACTATGCCGGAAATATTTGGGAGGGGCCTGGGGAATTAGGCTTCCTCCATTTGTCTGCTTCTCTCCTGATCTTATTTTCATCTTTTAACCTCTGCTGAAACCAACTGCAACAAGGGTAGAGGACTTGGCTTTTCAGCAGGGTGCAAGGCGAGTTACCTGACTGTCAGCCATCTTGGATTGCTGATGACCAGGCAGTGAGAGCCTCTCTTGGCAAAGATGGGTGCTGTCGTGTTTCTGTGTGCAGATGGGCCAAGCTCCCTTTACTTGTAGGACTTTAATGAAGGCCATGAGAAACAGCCACACATTCCAACAGTCATAAGTGTTTTTTTGCCAGTCCATCCCCTGAGGCTCTAGGATTGGGCATGGCGTTCTCACAAGGAAAAGAGATGGTTTTATCAGAATAATTAAGATGACAAAGCTTCCAGACGCAGAAATAATAGCTTCCAGAGTCCACTCTATTCAGCAGCTGTTTGCTATGATTGGAAAACATTCAAACTGGGTAGAAGAAATCGCCAAAGAGCTGGCTGCAGTCATTCTGCTATGATTAAATTAACAGGGAGGATTTTGTTTTGAAAATATCTAAGTGGGTTTGGCAGTGCCCTGGTCTCCCCTCAGCTTAAGAACCAATATTGAAGGAGAGTTTGAGCCTTTGAAATTAAACCGCCGGAAATCTCTGGAAGATAATAGGAAAAACACTGTTCTGTGGAAATTCTGAAGGCAATTCTAGCACATATTTATCTATGTATAACATTTACCTGTGTTGTGCACTCATCTTGGACAATCTACTTTTTCAAAAAAGTTTGGAGACTGCCATTTCAGAAAGTAATTTGCAGAGAACTGAGATCTAAATTAGTCCTGAAATGGTGCCAGTTCACTTGTGCCAAGCCTCAGCCCCGTTCTGGCCTTTGCCCAGTGACAAATTATGCTATTTACCTTTTGCATATTGCCCCTAGAAGAGCTTTGTAAAGATTACCAGGAAACCAGCAGTCGGTTTGATGGAAGATACAGAGGCCTGGGCTTATTTGCCTGAGCTCCTGCTACTAATCAGCCAAGTGTCTTTGAAATGATATTTAACTTGGCCAGTTCTCAATCATCCTCTCTCTGGGATCTCTGAGATCCTTTCCAGCCACAGAGTACTATGAGTCTGTGATTTCTTGAGTCACAAAGCAAGGTCATTTGATATATGTGAGGTGATAATAAGCTGTAATCAGGGAACATTCTCCAGTCATAAGCACGAAACCTGTGAGTTATTTGTGACTACTCCCTTTTCTCTTTCAGCCCACATTTAGCACCTTGGGCATGCCTCTCTGATTTTCATTTCTGTGTTCACTCCCTGAGCATAGGCCTTCCTACCTGTAGCGGGATGATGGGCAAATCCTCCTTCCTCATCTCCCATCACAAGAGTTCAGAATTTCCCTCTTCACTCCAGCCTACACACCACCAGCTGACTCGTTTCTAAACTGCAGAACTAATTTTGTTTCCTCTGCTTCCATGGTCCTCTATTATTTTTCAGTTTGGCTTCCAAGTCCTCTGTTTGACACACACATACGCTTCTAATTGCATCTTTTATTCTTCTCCATTCAAACCAATGTTCCAGCTGTTTTCTGGCTATGGCCCATACTTTCTCCTCTTAATATCCTTGCTCATATAATTACTTGATGACTTCCATCTGGATTTCCCAATCACCTACCTGTGAATCTCCGCTTATCCCACCTGTTCTTCAAGATTAAAATCAAATGCCCTTTCCTCCCTGAAGCTTTTAAAATTTTTTCAACAGGGCAGAATCTGCCCCTCTTCAGCTATTCTGCTATATTTTAGAGCAATGGGTGTGTACTTGTTTTGTCTTCTACTACTAGATTTTACACCCTTGATGGGCATTTGAAGAGCAAGAACAGAGCCTTGCATGCATTAGGTGTTCAATCAGAATGCATTGAATTGGGCTGAATGATTTCTGAGGAACCAGCAGTTAGTTTTATGGGAAATGAAGCATAGTAGGTGCAATACTTATCAAATAAGCCAGAGAAGACTTACATCAAGATATAAACCTAGTGTGTATGTATACATATGTATTTGCTATATATGTACATATGTGTGTGTGTGTGTGTGTAAATATATGTACATATATACATGCACACAATCATTTTAAACCTTTATAGTTGTGATGGGAAAAATTCTAATATGGTTCCCAAATTCCTGGTCTCTGGTATCCATCTACCTTCTCTCAGTTATTCATTCAAAGACTGTTCTAGGTATTGCTGGGAAGGGATTTTGGAGATATATTTAAACTCCCAAATAGGGAGATTATTCAGATAGGCCTGACCTAATCACAGGAGCCCTTTAAATCTGGATCTAGAGGTCAGAGATAGGGGAAGTTGGAGCTTCAAAGAATGAGATGGATTTGACATAGGGAAATTCTCCTGCCAGCTTGAAGATGGAGGGGTCCACTTGGCAAGGAGTGTAGCTTAACAGAAGGAGCTGAGCAAGGCCTGGCTGCAGCTGGTAAGAAAACGGGGACCCTAGTCCTACAACTGCAAGTGTCTTAGTCTGTTTTGTGTTGCTATAACAGAATACTGGAGGCTGGGTAACTTATTAAGAAAAGAGGTTTATTTAGCTCATGAGTCTGTAGGCTGGGAAGTTCAAGAGCATAGTGCTGCATCTGGCCTGCTTCTGGTGAGGGCTGCATGCTCATCAGAACAATGGCAGAGAAGTGGAAAAGCCAGCAGGTATATACAAAGAGATCACATGATGACACAGGAAGCAAGAAAGAGTCTAGGAAGTTGACTCTATTTTTTTTTTAATTGAGATGGAGTCTTGCTCTGTTGCCCAGGCTGGAGTGCAGTGGCACAATCTCAGCTCACTGCAAGCTCCACCTCCCAGGTTCACACCATTCTCCTGCCTCAGCCTCCCGAGTAGCTGGGACTACAGGTGCCCACCACCATGCCCGGCTAATTTTATGTATTTTTAGTAGAGACAGGGTTTTACCGTGTTAGCCAGGATGGTCTTGATCTCCCGACCTCGTGATCTGCCAGCCTCGACCTCCCAAAGTGCTGGGATTACAGGCATGAGCCACCTGGCCGACTCAATTT